TGATTAGGGGTGGAAAGATTTTTTTCCGTTTCTCATTTTTCCAATCTTAAATTCTGTTCTCCACATTTCTGCAGCAATTTGTGTTTTTAAAAAAACTTCAGCATTTTAATGTGACTTTCTCCTAATCGACACATTCTTCTATACAGTTTCTAAATGTACACATTTTTGCGGTTTCTCCTGAATGCATTTCTGTATGTTATTTTCACTAATATATTCATTTGGGGGGGGGCACACTTTCACTTAATATATGCAATTTTGTAAACATCGCTTGCTGTCAGAGAAATGCATTCCTAAATGTGGATAAGCGCAAACATTGAAAGATGGCTGTGTTTTGGTTCTCACATTGTTCCAGGAAGGGTGGATTTGAAAGGGTCAGCTTTAAAGGCAAACTGAATCCAATCACTGCCCCACCCCTAACCTTTGTAGCGACTGTTAGAATTCCTGCTCCATGATTGCAGTCATGGGATTTTTGTCTACCACATGACAGTATATGTTTTGACTCCACAGAGTGGGAAGTGACGGAGTCAGGATGTTTGTGTTACTGTGTTTCGTGAAGTGGGACTATTGTCCTTTGCTCTTTTTCTTTTTGCTGTCTGATGCTAGAGAGAGAGGGAGCCATGTTGCAGTGCTCCGTGTGTGTTTATATGTAAATAAAGTAGATTAGCCAAAATGCTGAGTTGCTGAGGTCTGTTATGCATGATGCCCAAACTCTGCAGATCCCCAAGTGTGCTGGTGTCGGTTGGCATCGGTCGCTGTGATGTTCAGGCTGAAGAAAGCTTTTGAAGCTCCCGAACGAAAGACCAGGAGGGAGAGAACATGACCGTCGGGCATGTGTCTCTGCCAGGGTCCTACTCAAGTACAGGCCGAGCTCCTGACAGCAACTGGCCCTCCACGTTCCAATTCCAAATTCTAAAAATGAGTTCGTTCCTACAGTGACATTCTGCTACTCCAACCCCACAATACCTAGAATAGAGTGGAGGGCTGGGTGAGGAGTCATACTTTGTTTTGCTAAGAGACTCCAGTGCAGCCTAATGTCTGGGATGGGGTGTGTGTGTGTGTGTGTGTGTGTGTGTGAGAGAGAGAGAGAGAGAGAGAGAGAGAGAGAGAGAGAGAATATGCCAAAATGGTGGGAGGAAGAGCAGGGAAGATGAGGAAAAGAGGTTCAGAACACAAAAAAGTGTTCAAGCGGGACCTTTTGTAGCTCTGAACTGACCGCCTCACTGGGGCGATGCTGGGCTGCTGTTAAACACAGACCTTTTTTGCGTAACAAGCATGTCGTGCTTATAATTCCACCTTGGCTACCAGGTGTTATTTTAAATGCGACTTCTGCTTCCCAGAGCTGCAGTAATTGGACAGCTCACAGGAAGAACGGCAAATGCGTACGGCACAAGCTGCCACCAGGCTGTGACACTCCTGAGACACACACACACACACACACACACACACACACACAGAGCTCTCTTCTACCCAATGCTATTGCAGTACAAAGGGGAATAGGAGGTGGCTTTCCCAAACTTTACTAGGTCTGTTTTTGTCACATGTCAAAACTGTCATCGATGCTGTCCACCGAGTACACACACTTGTGAGTGTGCTTGCTGCCATTTGAGAGGCATTCCACTTTCAACCAAAAACATACCGCCACTGTTTAATGGCAGCATTCGCACTCCTTTAATGGTTAGGAGCCTGGCTAAGTGCCAGTGGTCTAGGGGCTGGCCTTGCAGAATTATTTGGTTTTATTTGGAGGGGGTTTTTTTAGTGGGGGAGAAATGAATGCACAATGGGAGCCTTAGACAACACTGCCCACCCCCCGAGCATCAGGGCTAGGTTCATACTTGAATTTACAGCATACACTGCCCAATAATAGTAAGATATCTGGGCAGTGTACCATAAAACCAACAACAACCTACATGTTCTTCAACATAGCTTGGAAACATGCTTGTTTTATTCACTCTTAAGATGCTGTTGTTGTTTAGTCGTTCAGTCGTGTCCAACTCTTCATGACCCCATGGACCAGAGCATGTCAGGCACTCCTGTCTTCCACTGCCTCCCGCAGGTTGGTCAAACTCATGCTGGTAGCTTTGAGAACACTGCCCAACGACTTCATTCTCTGTCGTCCCCTTCTCCTTGTGCCCTCCATCTTTCCCAACATCAGGGTCTTTTCCAGGGAGTCTTCTCTTCTCATGAGGTGGCCAAAGTATTGGAGCCTCAGCTTCAGGATCTGTCCTTCCAGTGAGCACTCAGGGCTGATTTCCTTAAGGGAGAGGTTTGATCTTCTTGCAGTCCATGGGACTCTCAAGAGTCTCCTCCAGCACCATAATTCAAAAGCATCAATTCCTCAGCGATCAGCCTTCTTTATGGTCCAGCTCTCACTTCCATACATCACGACTGGGAAAACCATAGCTTTAACTATACGGACCTTTGTTGGCAAGGTGATGTCTCTGCTTTTTAAGATGCTGTCTAGGTTTGTCATTGCTTTTCTCCCAAGAAGCAGGTGTCTTTTAATTTCGTGACTCCTCTTAAGATAGCATAACCAAATTCGGCATGATGGTTCCCGAGATTGAGAAGTAGGTTTCTGCCTGTGTTTGCATAGAATTTGTATTGAATCAAGATGGCAGAAAGAACCTCTCAAAGCCACACTGATTTTAACCACTGGTTTCAGCAATGTGTCTGTTGTTGCTGCTGCTGCTGTTTTCTTGGAATTCCAAAGCAAAACTGATAGCAAAACAGAATGAGAGCACCTACCACTTAGAAATTAAGTGGGCCCATGCTGTTCCCCGCTGTTTGTGCCTGGATGTGGGTTTCAAAGCCAAATAAAACAAACGAGGCCTGTCAGCCTTTCCCTCCTCTGCCAGAAGAAACTAACAAGGGAGCTATGTGTGTCTGCCTGGGATCCTTCCCTTCCTAGGTCGCTTTTTCAAAGTTCTCCACTACCTCAAGGCACTAATCAAAAGGTAGGCAGCGACTGACTGCTCTCCCGTTTGCAAGCTCAGTGCTGAAGGTAGCTCCCCACTCTGCGCCCCCCGCCCAAGGCAGCAGGCCTCAAAGGATTGCTAGACACGGCTGGCCTCATTAGGGAAACCTGCAGACAGGCACAGCTGCAGCGAGGGTGAGGCACCCTGGGCTGCCAGTGCCACCTAATGAGGCACCCGGATTCCAAGGCACCCTGCTGACACTGACAGGGCTTCAGAAAGGGCGCTTTGCCATCTTTCTCTTGTTATTGTTATTGGGTTGTTGTTTTTTAAGCGAGAGAACTCGCAGCATAATGTCAGTCAAGCTAATTTTCTAGGTAACTGTGCAGAATACCTCCCTCCGCTCTGAGGGAGACAGGGAGGCACAAAGCCTCGATGCCCTGAAGCTATTATGCCTCCTTCACAGATGTGGGCTGCCATCTTTTCTTCCCTTCCTTCCCTTTGTTCTTTCCATACTACAGTGGTACCTCGGGTTACAGACGCTTCAGGTTACAGACGCTTCAGGTTTCAGACTCCGCTAACCCAGAAATAGTACCTCGGGTTAAGAACTTTACCTCAGGATGAGAACAGAAATTGCGCGGCAGCGGGAGGCCCCATTAGCTAAAGTAGTACCTCAGGTGAAGAATGGACCTCCAGAACGAATTAAGTTCTTAACCCAAGGTACCACTGTAAAAGCTGCCAGGGCAATGTACAACTGGAAAATGTGAAGCGCCATTAAAAATTATTCAAATAAGCGCCAGTTGTTTGAAGAGCTGCAAAGTCCTGTCAGCGTAAAAAGGCCTTTAAGAGATGCCTGGGAATCAAAGGCTTTGGGAAGGAGGCATCCTGTCAGAGGCCTGGCACCTCCTTCCCAAAGCCCAGGCTTCTGCCCAGCTTAGTGGGGGAGGCATGATGTCACGCACACCATGCCAGCCCCCCAATCGCCCCTGAAAGCTGGTGCCTCTGGCCTGGTTCACCTACGAAAATTTTTGCCACACGCCACTGTCCCTAACCAATCCAACATGTGTAAGTGGGGACAGTGTTCTTTCCCAATCAGATAGGCACTGAGATTTAACGGATGCTATCTCAGCAAGGCTTTGAATCAACTTTATGCCACCATCCTATTTTCCCATAGGCCTTTCTGGTGCCTCAGAGGAAGTTCTCACAAAACGAAAGCACCTCTCATGCCCACAAAGGGAGGAATCAGACGTGTAATCACAATATGCCTATAAATCAATCCATATCCCTTTTAACCAACATTTGATTATTTATGAAGCAGCTAGCACCATGAGCCCTAGCACAGAGCAATTAGGTGGATAAAGCCCTTTAATACAAGCTTTTACCCGTAGGAAGTGGCTTTCAAACATTCCAGCTTCGTATGGACTTGTTTACCACCAAAGCCACTGTGGAGAATTCTGGGAAACACACACAAACAAACACACACTGCATCTGGAATATGCTTTGTGAACCGAGGATGCAGCCGCTACACTTCACCAGCAATGTGGAGGGATGGCTCATAACATTTAGCTTGGTAAAAATAATAATTAAAAAAAAGGTAAAGGACCCCTGGACGGTTAAGTCCAGTCAAAAGCAACTATGGGGTTGCGGAGCTCATCTTACTTTTCAGGCCGAGGGAGCCGGCGTTTGTCCACAGACAGCTTTCTGGGTCATGTGGCCAACATGACTAAACCGCTTCTGGCGCAACAGGACACTGTGACAGAAACCAGAGTGCACGGAAACACTGTTTACCTTCCTGTCGCAGTGGTACCTATTTATCTACTTGCACTGGCGTGCTTTCAAACTGCTAGATTGGCAGGAGCTGGGACGGAGCAACAGGAGCTCACCCCGTCGCGGGGATTCGAACCGCTGACCTCATTGGCAAGCCCAAGAGGCTCGGTGGTTTAGACCACAGTGCCACCCACATCCTTAGCACACAAGGCAAGATACATAGAACTCAAGGTTGGCCAAGTTACTTTGCCACCTGAGGCAGACCATTCTACAAGTGGCTTTTTCTGAGAGTAAAATAAAAATAAAAATACAACGGTTAATAGTGCGGGGAAAGGGTCACAGCTCAGTGGCTGAGCATCTCCTTTGCATGCAGAAGGTCCCAGGTTTGACTCCTGGCATCTCCCGGCATGGCTGGGAGAGATGCTGGAGAGCTGCTGTAGAGAGAGAGCAGTGTAGACAATACTAAGGTCGGTGGACCAATGGTCTGACTCCGTCTAAGGGAGCTTTCTATGTTCCCTGAAATGGGCAATATGAAAGGAAGAGTTGAGAGGTGTCAGGCTTCAGGGAATCCGATCCCTCCCACAGTGGGCAGCCAATAATTAAATAAACAAGGAGAGTTCTTACCAAGTCTTTTATTCAATATTCACAGAGAGAGGCTTTGAAAAGTGCCTCTCTTGCAGTGATGGCATTGCTCCAAGTCAAGCCCCACCCCCTCCATCTCTCCTATTCTACATCATCCCTCCGTTGGATGATCTGTGCCTTCTGCCTCTGCGTTTTCTGTTCTCCTACTTTCAATTCCCACCATGTTCTGGGAGAGGAGGGGTCTGGCATGCTTTCTAAGGAAAACGAGTCTGTCAGCTGTCTCTCCCCTGCTGCTGCTTCTGCTTCTTCTTCCACTATTTCCCAGCTTCTCCCTTCTGCAGCCTCTGAATTATGACCATGTGCCAACCCTTGTTCTAAATCTATACAGTGGTACCTCAGGTTAAGTACTTAATTCGTTCCGGAGGTCCGTTCTTAACCTGAAACTGTTCTTAACCTGAGGTACCAATTTAGCTAATGGGGCCTCCTGCTGCTGCCGCACCACCGCCACGCGATTTCTGTTCTCATCCTGAAGCAAAGTTCTTAACCCGAGGTACTATTTCTGGGTTAGCGGAGTCTGTAACCTGAAGCGTATGTAACCCGAGGTACCACTGTACTGTCTCCTCTTCTCTGGCAGGTTCAGGCTCCCCCTTCTCTGCCCAGTCCCTGACAAGGGGCAATGAAAGAATGGACAAGCAGCGGAGAGAGGACATGGGGTCAGGGCCAATGGGTGTGGCCCCCGCTGTAAGTTATAAATGGGACGAGGGCTGCAGGTGCTTCAAAAGGCACGCCGTTCCCTCTCGCAGAAGAATCCCCGCATCCTTTTCAATAGAGGGAAGGGCTGTGGCTCAGTGGTGGGGCATCTCCTTTGCTTGCAGAAGATCCCGGGTGCATTGCAGAGGGTTGGACTAAATGACCCTTGGGGGTCCGTTCCAGCGCCATGATTCTATGATTCAGTCCCTGGCATCTCCAGGTTAGGGCTCCTGTCTGAAACCTTGGACAGCAGCTTCCAGTCTGCATAGAGAATTCGGAGCTAGAGGAAGCAGGAGAGAGTTCTATGTTCCTAAATAACCGATTGCTGCCCTTTGCAGCACCATTTGTTGCACTATTTTAGTGTTGTTAGCCGCCCTGAGCCCGGCTTCGGCTGGGGAGGGCGGGATATAAATAAAATGTATTATTATTATTTCGCAACACCTTAAGCCAGCTGCCTGAGACTGCCTGTACAACGCAGGGAAAGATGTGTACTCAACTAGCAGTGTGCTAGTCTTGTCTTTAGGAATGCTTGCCCTTCTCATGGAGGGAGCTGTGATAAGTCTTCTGCAGCAACCCAGCATCTCCCAGGAACACAGCACAAAGAAAGTGGAGGAAAGAAGCGGGTGAGAGTTTCTTCTCAAATCCCGAAGGCCCCTCCAATTTTTATTTTTTTAAAAAAGGACAAAATATTGTCTGCTCCCAGGGGCATAGCCAGGATTTTTTTGGGGAGGGGCAGGACTTTTGTGGGGAGGAGCAGAACAGACATGATTGGTCAACTAGTTAAGTATTTTTATTATTTTACTTTACAATGTGCTCCCTAAAAAGGAAAAGCTTCCGGCTCCATCCCGAAAGTGCATTTCCACCAGTCCCCCGCGGGGCAGGCTCTCAGCATCAGATGGGAATTGGGAGCTGTCCAGGTGCTGAAATGAGACACCTTCCACCTCGCTCTCAACGGGACTGCAGCCCACGCAGCTCTGGGAGAGAGAGGGGAGGGAGGGAGGCAGGCGCTGCTCCAAGCCCACCGTGGACTTTGCTAATTACAGTTTGTCTAGATGAGTCAGATGCAGGCTCTTCCTCCAGTCTGGGGTTTTGCATCGGAGCCAGCTAGCAGCTGCCTTGGCATCTTTGCAAGACAAAAGGGTTCATTATCAACCATCCACGCATTCCCTTGCATTGCTAGTTAAGCTTCCCTTTATTGGCCTTTTTTCATACCCACCCAAATGCTTTGCATCATCTGCTTAGGGCTACTGGTGGCCCGTGGGCTAAATCCAGCCCACAACCTTTCTGGCCGTTAGTCATATACCCCTCAATTGACCAAAAGGGGCCTTTTAAGCCCCCTAACCATGCCCCCCCGCATTTCCCTTCGCTTACTGGGGCTGGGGGGCAGAAAATAATCAGCATCCTTATAGCGAGTCAGGGCACAGATTCTTCAAGCCTAATTGTGCCCTGCTCAGACGGGCAGCAGATTCTCCAGCAACCTTAAGCAGGGGAACTCCCCACCCAGAGATGTTAGGGAGAAGTTGAGGCATGTATTCTCCCCATTTGTCTCTTGCTCTCCCCAAAAGAGTCTGAGCCTTTGACTGTGTGCCTAGCAAATGTTCGCTAAGGCCCTGCTGCCCCACCCCACCGCTCAGATTTCCAGAAACTTTCTGTGGGGCAGAGAGAAGGGAGGGGTGCTAGTCAGCCCTCATGGACCATCTTTCCACACCGGGAATTGGACTGGAACTTATAGTCCCAGCACCCATGGCAGGACAGTGACACTGCACACACGATTCCTGACGAGATGACTTTGAGGTCTGTTCAACGGGAATCAAATCGCATCATTTTCCATGACAGGGGCACATGCTTCACTAGGGCCTGGGAGCAACTCAAAAAAGCTGCCTCTACCATTGCGACTCCAGAAGATAATATTTTTTGGAGGGACTTTAGCACAGGAAGAGAGGCCACTGGCAAGTTGCAATATTTATTTCAAACATGAATTGCCTGTTGTTCTAGACCTCTATGGCCCTACCTTTGCAAGCATCCTTGATCTGAGCCACTAAAAGAGAACCTCCAACAAATCTAGCTGGACACCAGGACTTTACACATAGACCCAAAAAACCCCACCTAGCATCGAATGATCTAGAGGACGGTAGGCAAACCTTAGAGATATGCTGCATTGAAAAAAGCTCTGAAGGCTCTGCCCTGACGCTGGTTTCACAGCAGTGAAAGCTGTGTCTTGTGTGAGGAATGTCAGCTGCCACTGTTGAGGAAGAGGAGAGGTGACGTTCATAGTAGGATCACAATGGGTCAGGCTCCCTTAGCTGGTCAAGACAAACTCAGTCTAAAGAACTTGCTTATTTTTTGGGGGGGGGGATATGTACCTTCCCTTCCGTTAACATTCCCAGCATGGTTCACATCTGAAGTACAATGAAAATCAAAATATAACTAAGAATATTTAAAAAATGTTGCTTAAAAACTCTGGAAGCATGAACACTCAGCTAAAGCCTGTGAAAGAAATAAAGTGGAAAGCCTGGATTAAAAAAAAGAAAGAAAGTCTTCCAGTGCTGACGTACCATCGAACTTTGTGCCAAGCAAGCTTCTCAGATGCAAGATGCCATCACTGAAAGGGCCCCATGTTCCACTCATTTAATTTTGGAGGTCCTCTACCAAGCCTGAAGATAAATGTGAGTTTCAGACAAGCCTTGGTGGTCATTCAGCTGTTCGGCAGCGGAACAGACTCCCGACGGAGGTTGTGCACTCTTCTTCCTTGGAGGTTTTTAAGCAGAGGTAGTGTGGCCATCTGTCATGGATGTTTTAGCTGAGATTCCTGCCTTGCATGGGGTTGGACTAGATGACCACTGGGGTCCCTTCCAACTTGATTTTATGAAATGGAAGAGCCATAGCTCAGTGATGAAATGCGGCCCTTTCTTGTACAAAGTCCCAGGTTCATCCCCAAACATTTTCCTTTAAAAAATGAAGAGCTGGGATTGATTTGTGCCCGAGACTGTGCACTACAAGGCTACACGGGCCACCAATCAGTACAGGCAGGGGCATATGAAGAGCCACACGTACTATTGATTTCAGGACAATTATTTGATCACTTGGCTTTTTTCTATTTCATTGTTAAGGGAGTCATTCCTGCTGGGCTCATGGGAAAACTGTAAAAAAGAGAAAGAAACTTGGCTTTTCTTAATCCTGGGAATGACAACTGTGAGTCACCCCTGGACAAAATCTTGCTCAAAGAGGCCAACACAGCAGGAGTCATTAGCTCTCCTAAATACTCTTGCAGCAAACATGGGCCAACACAACTAGAACCTGACTGCCCTCTCCTGGGCTCTTCAGGAAAGTCAAGGAAATGAAGCCATCTCGTCCCAGAACCGAATGAATCAAATTCACAGGAAGCAGGCTTATGCCGATAACTGTCCTGGCTTATCAATACCCATGCAGAACCTTTGTATCCACAGACAGCAGCCTCCGGCAACAATACGTTGGGAGCAAACAGAAAGGAGCAGTCATCACCGCCATGACCCACATGCGAGATTCTCATTGTTCGGCTAACATGCCTGGCTGCTAGAAGAACCCATTGGTCAGATCCGGCAAGACAATTACATTTTACCCATTTCAAGAAACTGAATGCACCAAAGCCCTAAGAGAAGCCATTTTTTCAAATGTTTGATGTTTTATCACTTTATTATAATCATTAATATTAATATTCTGTTGGGAGCTGCCTAGAGTAGCTAGGGAAACCCAGCCAGATGGGCGAGGTATAAATAATAAATTATTATTATTATTACTATTACTATTATCTTCCTACAAAGCAAGGCTCCTCAAGGCTACTTCTCATTTGAAGTGCTGTGCTCCAGGATGGATGTCCAATATAAATACGCATGTAGAGTTTACCTGAATCGCACATGTGCATTTAGAATATGGCTGCTTTTCCCAGAAGTATCTGAGAACAGGGGGCCAGACCCTTTCCAAATGGCCACTCTTGTGTATTTTAATACAGTCGTACCTTGGTTCTCGAACTTAAACCTTTCCAGGAGTCTGTTCAACTCCCAAAACAGTTTGAAAACCAAGGCACGGCTTCTGGTTGGCTGCAGGAGCTTCCTACACTCAACGGGAAGCTGCGGAAGCTGTGTCGGACGTCCGGCTTCTGAAAAACGTTTGCAAACCGGAACACTTACTTCTGGGTTTGTGGCGTTTGGGATCAGATTTGTTCAGGAGCCAAGCTGTTTGAGTACCAAGGTACCACTGTTTACACCAGGGATCAGCAAACTTCTTCAGCAGGGGGCCAGTCCACTGTCCCTCAGATCTAGTCGGGGGGGCGGACTATTTTCTGAAGAAAAAAAAATGAACAAATTCCCATGCCCCACAAATAACCCAGAGATTTTAAATAAAAGCACACATTCTACGCATGTAAAAACACCAGGCAGGCTCCACAAATAACCCAGAGATGCATTTTAAATAAAAGGACACATGCTACTCATGTAAAAACACACTGATTCCCAGACTGTCTGCGGGCCAGATTTAGAAGGCGATTGGGACAGATCCAGCCCCTGGGCCTTAGTTTGCCTACCCATGGGATAGGGGCTACAGTTTGCTTAAAATTCCTTTGGTTGGAAGTGGGGAGGGCAAAACCTGAACATCTTTAAAAGGTGAAAAACGCATTTACCACCACTAGAGGGAGAGCCTTGCTTGCAAAAAGACTTCAGGGCTCTTAAACATCTCTTGGTGCGGCGGCAGCAAGTCGATTGAAGAGGAAACAAGATAACAGGGGGAAGTTTTATCTCCAACACAAGTGTGTTTAGCCAGCATAAAGAGAAGGGTGTCCCCCGCTTTTGTGCTCTCAATCCCTTGAACCTAAAACTACACACGATAAACTTTGGTTCCATGGCGTCAACAGCCTGGAAGGCCGACGGCACAGTGCCAAACCGGGAAATAATTAACCACTTGCCCTATGGATCGCTTCTCTTTGCTCCCAGAAATCCCTGCAGTACCTATAGAATTAAGATTATTAGGGGCGAGCCGGGACCGGATACATTCACTAAGGATAAGCTGGAATTTCAAACCTGGCGTCTGAACTGTGGTCCCGCCAGCTCAAGGAAGCATCTCTCCAGCACGTTCCTTGGGATAACTGGCTAGAAAGACTGTCACATTGGCCACTTGCCAACTTGGGTGGATGGTTGCCATTGCCTGAAGTGTGGAAAGGAATGGCTCACTCACTTGAGCCACCTGTTACCACTTGCTTTGCAGGGATACTTTCTGTAGCACCTCTACCTTGGGGCCTGCGGAGCATCCGTAGTCGTGGATTGTATTAAGCAGATTAGGAGAGTTTAGGGTGGGTAAGGGGGAGTTACGGTGCTGGGCTTTGTGGCCACTAGACCCCTTTCCCACCCCAGGCGCACATAATTCCACTGGGTGCAGATTAGAAATTCAGTCACTTCCTTTCCCATCAAAAAGGCTTTGAAAAGTAAAATTTGTCGGTTTCAGCTCCACTCATGTTCTTTTGATGCACTTGTACGAAGTCACTCCGGATTATAACTCTCAACGCTGTGAATGTTCATGAACATATAACAGTGGTTCCCAATTATCCAAGTACTGTAGATCCCCCGTTTTTTCAAAAGCCAAGCCATGGACCTCCTACTTTTGAAAATGCTGATATCTCTGTGGTAGTTTTTGTCATACAAATTGTGCCACTGACGCTCCCCAGGGGAGGTATATGAAACCCCTGGGGTCCGTGGACCACCAATTGGGAACCATGGCTCTATAACATCACTGTAACAGCCACTTTTACTTAGTTGCACGTAACCAGGGGTTGGGGAAAAAGGAATGAATGGAACTGGTTGCTTCCAAAGAAGAGAGACTTCTGCTTTTCTTGCTTAGGAAGTTTGGCATCCAAGCTGAGAAGGCCAGATTGCTGGACTCTTGATTATTTAGTGCTAATTGCTCATTTGCTCTCATGATGTCCCTCCTGCCATCTCCCTGAAACCTAAAAGAGTTACCGTATTTTTTGCTCCATAAGACGCACTTTTTCCCTCCTAAGGAAAAGTAAGGGGAAATGTGTGTGTGTTATGAAGCAAATGCAGGGGGGAGGCAGGCAGGAAAAGCCCCCAAGAGCCGCACACAAGCTCCGTGCGGCTCCTGCGGGCTTTTCCCCAGGAGGGAGAAGGGACTGACGCGGCCAGTCAGTCCCTTCTCCCTCCTCGTAGAAAAGCCCGCAGGAGCCGCGTGCTCCTTAAGGGATGCACGGCTCCTGTGGGCTTTTGCAGGAGGTGGGGGTATTGCCATAGCTGCGCGCAGCCCCTCCTCTTTAGCCAAGGAAGCCTTGCGCAACCTCTCCAGCTGGGAGAGGCTGAGCGCGGCTATAGCAAAAGCCAAGGGAGCGAGCAGGATCCATCCTGGCTTCTTTGCTCTTTGGGGCTGGGGATAAGGTTTTTTTTCTTGATTTCCCCATCTAAAAACTAGGTGTGCCTTATGGAGCGAAAAATACAGTAAATGCCTATTTAAACAAAAAACACGCGTACACAAACTCTCTTGGAATTCTACCTTAAAAAGAAAAAAATGTGACATAGCACATCTACAGATGCCTAGAAAACTGCTCAACTATAGATCTCCTCTTAAACGCAGCACCTGAATTTTCCAAAGAGGGAAGGAAAGGCACTTCAGTTTGAAGAGGAAAAAGGGTAGGCAAGGAACGCCAGAGTGGGGGGAAAGGAGTAGAGTGAAGAAACCGCAGCTTAGTTGAATGTTTACCCTGGCTATTTTGGAGCCGTTTTTAATCTGCTTGAACCAAATCAAACACTGTTGATATCAGTTTGAATGGAGCAAGAATCAAATACGGGATTATAAAGGAATGGGGCCCAGATAGCGACTCCTACGTGACACTACGATGTTTATTTCAGCGCAAGGCAAAAAGCTGCTGTTGTGCTAATGCGTTTGGCAGGGGCGGAAAACGCTCCACGCTGCAACCCCTGATAACACAGTGATTAAGTGCAGCACAGCCTGTAAGTATGGGAATCTGCAACCAGAAGAGAACGTGCCAACTGTTCGGCGATGTGATCAAACCTGAGCACGTGGCACAGCCTTCCTCAGGTCTCCTGCAGTTTACAGAGCCCGCTTTGCTGGCTGCAAGGTGGGATGACATCTCTGCATGTTTAACTCTAGTTACCTATAAGCAGGGGTGGTGCTGTGGTCTAAACCACTGAGCCTAGGGCTTGCTGATCAGAAGGTCGGCAATTTGAATCCCCGCAACGGGGTGAGCACCCATTGCTTGGTCCCTGCTCCTGCCAACCTGGCAGTTTGAAAGCACGTGCAAGTAGATAAATAGGTACCGCTCCGGCGGGAAAGTAAACGGTGTTTCCGTGCGCTGCTGTGGTTCGCCAGAAGTGGCTTAGTCATGCTGGCCACATGACCCGGAAGCTGTACGCCGGCTCCCTCGGCCAATAAAGCGAGATGAGCGCCGTGACTCCAGAGTCGGTCATGACTGGACCTAACGGTCAGGGGCCGCTTTACCTTTACTTTACCTATAAGCAGACAGAGTACTACTGCCCAGCTTCCAGTTTTTGCCTTTTCCTATTGCGCAAACAAACAAAAGCATTCATGAGCAACATTCCTTTTTAACCAGGCCTTTGGTTGATCTGATTTAAATCCTATGCCCCTCTAATATGTGGTTTTTTGGGGCAGCTATTGGGTTGTTGTTTTTATTATGTATTTTGTGGTTTTATATCTTGATTTTATTCTGTGAACTGCCCTGAGACCCCTGGGCATAGGGTGGTATGTAAATAAAAATTAATAAAAATAAAATAAAATGACATATTTGGAGATGGGGGCAGGTTACAATGTGAGTCAGTCAATCTTGTTCAATGGAATTTATGGCATTGCCATCGTAATCTTTGTAAGCCTACACTTGTACCCATGAAGACTAGAAACTTTTAAAATTAAAAACTGAGAATCTCATATCCTTTACTGTTGTGCAGGGTGCTTGCTACAGCCTATTATTTGTGAACTGACCCAGTGGCCCCAATTGTGATAAAACCTTTTTTTATAAGTGCCTTTTGCAAGTAACTTTGCAAACATATTATACTTCCAATGGCAGCAAGGGTGTCCCCATAGAAACGTACCTACTGAGCCAGCAGTTCTGCCCCAAACCTTTTGCACCAAGAGCTAGCTTCTGGTGGAGGGTGACCGCTGCCATCCCTTACTCTGAATATTTTACTATTGTTCAAAAATGAGTTACCTTGCTGTCTAGCCTTCGGGATCTGCTTATTCTAAATAAGAGGCAGGCACACAGCTTCCGAAAAAGAAGATCTTTTTGGCCCATGAAGATTTCTACTTGTTTCAGCCATGGCAGGACAATACTCTCCTTGCATCCTGGGACTATATTAAGGTAAAATAAATCAAAACCGCTCAGCTGACCACAACATTCATGTATGTAACCGGGTTCGTAAGAACACCAAGTGGGTCTGCAGTTCCACGGATTGCACAGTCGTGCAGTTTTCTTAGGTTCCGTCACAATTGCACAGGGGTTCTGTGACCACATGAATGTGCACCGCTCCTGTGAGCAGCGCATGACAACCACATGCCAATGTCTGCTAAACCTGTGTGGGGCACAGAGAGACAGCCCACCACCTGGCTGAAGAATTACATCGCATCTCAGCACCGTGTGGCTTTGTAAGCACCCCTTCAGCACCAAACGCCCGAGTCCACGTATGCTAAATCTGAGCCATCTCACGATGCCGTAAGGAGAGAACATGACCAGTCCAGAAGGCAGGAGGTTCACCATTACGTTGGGAGTCTATGAAGAAAGGCAGTCAGTCCGTCACAGTCCGCTGAGAAGTTCTCTCACCGCTCACGTCAGGTACTGCACCACGAGGAACATGAGCACGCAGGTCACGATCATGCCTCCAATCATGAAGTACTTATCCTGGAAGGCACGTTTCTCAGTGAGGCGCATGACTGTGTTGGATAAGCCGAGCATGTTTGCAACATCCAGGATTTTCTTCTGGGTGCCCTGAAGGTGAGAGAGAGCAAGAGAGAGAGAAGCAGCAATGTTAGGGAAACAAACAGGCAGACTCTCTGAATGGCTTCGGCATCCTCCACAGACAGATGCTGTTTACTGAGAATCACAGAATTGTAGAGTTGGAAGGGCCCCACACGGTCATCTAGTCCAACCCCCTGCAATGCAGGAATCTCAGCTAAAGCATCCATGACAGGTGGCAGTCCAAGCAGAATGAGCTTTTACAGAACAAGGACTTGCTTTCCACATGCCTCTGAATTGCAGGGCCCATTCCACCTTCCCATCTCCTTTCCTCTGCCTCCATCCTCCCCTGCTGTTCTTCTGTTGTCAGAAGTTGGTTAGGTTTACCATGCCGTCCCAAAACCATACTTTCAACACTTAATTTTTTTTGGGGGGGGGAGGGGGAATATAGAACCCTATGTTTGATTTAGCAGTTTCCTTTCCAGCAACACTCTGTTTTAGACAAATGGACATACTGTTTTTTTAAAAAAATGGCAGCACCAGTGCTCTCACAAAGCATCTTAGGCTGGGTAGCAACAGGGTTGTGGGTCATGGCCCATGTGTTGGAAGGTCAGTGCTAGAGAGGCACAGCTCTCACCAGGAAAGCACAACCTGTCCCATGGCTATCACCCATCTGCTTTTCCATGCAGGTTTTACCTGTGCTCCGATAGGACCAGGAAGCAGGAGGAGGAAAGGCCTTCCACCAATCAGAATCAGCACAGTAACAAACAAAGGTATATGGCTCCTCCCTTCACCAGGAGTCAGAAATCACAGGTAGGCCAGGGGGATATGGAACAAAATGCCGCAGTGGAGAATGCCTTTTTTTAAAAAGAAAGCTCTGGTGGCCAAATTCCATATACAGTGGTACCTCGGTTCTCAATTGTAATCTGTTCCAGAAGCCTGTTTAGCTTCCGAAAGGTTCGAAAACTAAGGCGTGGTTTCCCATTGGTTGCAAGAGCTTCTTGCACTCAGCGGAAGCTGCGTCTTATGTTCGAGTTCCGAAAAAAAGTTAGAAAACAGAAGCACTTACTTCCAGGTTTTCGGCATTTGAGAACCGAAACGTACGACAACGGTTTGGGAACCGAGGTATCACTGCATATATATATATATATATATATATATATATATATATATATATATATATACACATACCGTATTTTTCGTTCTATAGGACGCACCGGCCCATAGGACGCACCTCGTTTTTTGGGGGGGGAAATGAATAAAAAAAATTATTTCCCCCCCCCCGCCGCAGCTGCCGCCCCAAGCCTCGCGTGCTTCGGGCTGCAGGCTACCGCCCCAAGCCTCGCGTGCTCGGCGGGACCTCCTGCCGGGCGCGCAAGGCTTGCGGACACTGGCCCGAGCACGGGAGCCCTCCGGAGGGCTCCCCGTGCTTCGGGCGACAGGCTGCTGCCCCAAGCCTCGCGCGCTCGGCGGGACCTCCTGCCGGGCGCGCAAGGCTTGCGGACACTCGCCGGGGCTGCAGGCTGCTGCCTGCAAGCCTTGTGAGCCCGCGGGAACTCCCACCGGGCTTGCAAGGCTTGCGGATAGCTTCCTGAAGCCTGGAGAGCGAGAGGGTCGGTGCGCACCGATGCCTCTCGCTCTCCAGGCTTCAGCGAAAGCCTGCATTCGCTCCATAGGACGCACACACATTTCCCCTTCATTTTTGGAGGGGAAAAAGTGCGTCCTATGGAGCGAAAAATACGGTATATGTATACAGTGGTACCTCGGAACTTGAACATAATCCATTTCAGAACACCGTCCGACTTCCGAATTGTTTAGAGTTCTGAAGCACGGCTTCCGATTGGCCGACAGTGAGGTTTTTGCACAGCAGAAGCTGTGTTGGACGTTTGTGTTCTGAAAACTGGAGCACTTACTTCTGGGTTTTTGGCGTTCGGGAGCCGAAACGTTCAGGAACAGAGATGTTCGAGGTACCACTGTATTTCACTTTTAAAATTGTGTTTGGTGAAGGCTTTCACTTCACTGAGGTCTTCCCTTAGGAAGCCAGAATTATGCTGCAGATTCATGTAACCCCAGTGCTTCCTTTTCCACAGGGAATCTGTCCTGGAGCAGTGCCACAATTGGTGTGATGGAAAAATCAGGAGTGGCTCCAAGAACAGCAGCAAAGGCGTGCCATTGTGTAGGGCAACAGTGAGAGGAGAGCCAAGAAATGCTACAGGTGTGATACCTCCGTGCTGCCTACTGAGATGCAGCTACACCAAGAATGAGAATTCTCACCCCAGAACTCTGAAAAGGAGCATTCCACATTTCCATCTAGGAATATTCAGCCTGTGAGCTTCCATCTAGGGAGAGCCACGTCGACATGCTCATCTGATCCGATGTGATTACCAACGGGATGCTAAAAGGCTACAGTTCATTTCCAGGATGACATCACTCCAAAATGAACATTCAAGCCTGCAAGGTCACATCCTGTAACGCCTTAAGAGGCGAGAGACTGCTGGAGTGGGTGTTTGGACAGCTGTGTTCCAAGTGGGGCCAGGGCAGCGCAGGGAAGCGGTTTCTCTAGCTTGGCAGGAATATCAGGGGTTGCCCGGTGGCTCAAGCCTACCACACCCAGCCTGCTTCTTCCAGAGGAAAAGGGCTGGGGTTGGAATAAAAACAGGCACGGGGTTCGGAAATGGCATTTACGTCAGCGGCTACCAAGGACACTTGAGCTTTTAACCTCTGCACGGCAGGGAGTGGCGGCTGGGGAGACAATAGCACCCGGCGTGGCTTAGGGACCCCAGAAGCTGTGTGCCATTGATAGTGGAGTGCCCAGAGAACAGGGCAGAGAGTTAGGAAGAAGACCCCGAGCGTAGAAAGTGATAGAGATGCAAGGAGGCAGAACGACTGGTTGAAGGGCGGAAGGAGACCAGAGCCAGCAATAGCTAGAGGAGGAGGAGGGCAAACAGTGGAGGGAAGGAATAGTGGGCCAATGAGAAGAGGGAAGGTAGGGGAAACCTCATATGCAAATAGTCCTGCTCTTTTTAGGAACCGCTGGCATGGAGGATCCTGATTCAGGAAAAGGTTTTGGGTAGGATAGGCAACCTTCAGACTCTCTTTTAATTCACAAGAAGCTGCCTTATACCAGGAACAAAGGAATTATCCAGCATAGCCTTTTACTGTCTGCTTGGCCCATGGTCTCAGGAAGACCCTTTTAATAGGTGGAGCCAAGGTTCCTGAACCTGGGACCTTCTGCATGCAAAATATTTTCTCCACCACCCAGCTCTGCCCTCTCCCTGGACCGATACTCAGAGCTTCTTATCCAGGAGTAAATTTGCAAAACTCTGTCCAAATTTGCAGCAGGGCACAACGAAGCTACAAGAAACCCTGACAGGTTGAATTAATGCTACATTCGCAACATGTGGAATTTGGGTGTATCCAAAAGCCTTGAGTGCAGCTACAGCGGTGGCGGTTTCAAAAGGGGAAGATTGGTGTGGAGTTTGCCTCCTAGGATGAGTCATAAGGAAAGGGTTAAAATAGGTGGGATGTGATTGGCCAGTGAGAATGCAAGGGGGGAGTAAAAGTAAAGAGTGGAAGATTTTGAAAATTGAGTTGAGTTGAGGGTTGAGGTTGGGGAGTTGAAGAAGGAAGAGGGAGGAATAGGCAGTGGGTTGGTAGAGTTGTATTGTGAGACAGTGAGAGGAATTGTTAGGTGGAGTCAGATAGATAGTTGGAATAATCAGTTTGGAGCTGTTAGGAACTAAGAATAAGAAACTGACAAAAGAACAATTAACTGAAACCATAAGCTTGTTCCTGCATTTAAAAATAAACTTGATTATTTGTTTATGTTAACAACTGACTGGGCTCCGTGTGTCCCTGTGAGATATGGGGTGGTGGCAGTGGAAAAAGCAATCGTAGTGGCGGCACAGGGTCAATAGACCGTCAAACGTCCGGGGGCCCTGTGTGTGATCGCTACACTTGGCTTTGCCATACAGGGAAAAAAAAGGAAAAACAGAGGAGTGACAGGGTGACAGAGGAGAGGTTGGAGAAGAGACACAGAGGGCGAGGATGAAAAGAACCTGCACCTGAGTTTTACTTCTCAGAATTCTGGAAAGTTATCAGAATTAAAAGAGGGGAGAGAAGAAAAAGTGGGTGCCTACTCCCCATATATAAATATATTTTAAAAAGCTGAAGGTCCCATCCTATGCCCACCTTTAATGTCATTCTCTGATCCCTCAGGCCCTGCAGAATGCTGGTCCCGCTGCCAATGAGATCGTCCATGCCACGGTGAGCATTTTGGAGGGACTCGTTATGCTGCAAGGTTTCATCGATCGGAATGGTGGTGTCAGAATCCTGCAAAGGGGGAGGAGGGAAGGGAAGTATGTTGGTTATCTTTCCTTGGCACTCTGAACCCAGAAGGACAAGGGTGTCAACAAAAGCCCATGTTTTTGGTTTTTTTTAAAAAGAATCGGCATTATTCTGCAGCAGTGAAGTTCAAACTTTCTGTCCTTACATTTTCCACATAAGTGTGACTGCCACAAAATCGAGCTGCTGCTCCATGTGTCCTCAAAGACTAAGAAAACTCCCTATGTATTACAGGAGAAGATTGGCAGTGGTGGGGAAGTTGCCTCGTGTGAGTTTGGACATTGTTGCTGATCTCCTTAAGTGCTAAACCCCATGATTTCTCGCCACCCAAAAATACCCCATTTGAGAACGACAGCTGTTAAATAGATGAACATTGGGACGTGGGAGGGAGGCGAATATTAGCACAAATCCACTGGTTTTACAGGAGGACATACGTTAGTGGTGAATGTTCGGGCCAGAAGCTCCTCCCGCTGCCTTTCTTGCTGCTCCCGTGCATAACGCCGGTGCTGGAAGTTCCTCAATGCCGTCTGCAGGTGCTGGATGTCGTATTTCAGCTGGTCAACCCGTCTGAGAATGACAAGTCACAGAAAGGAGGAAGAAAGCTTTGATTTTCATGTAAATACAAGAACAACGTCTAGCTACAGTAACTTGTCCTATGGTACAGTCTTATTAAGTTTCATATGCAGTACACAAGCAATACAGTCATATATTGGAAGTCGAATGGAATCTGTTCCGGAAACCAAAGCATGGCATCTGATTGGCTGCAGGAAGCCCCTGCAGCCAATCAGAAGCCACGTCAGACATTCGGGTTCCAAAGAACGTTCGCAAACCGGAACACTCACTTCCGGGTTTGCAGCGTTCCGGAGTCTAAAATGTTTGAGTACCAAGGCGTTTGGGATCCAAGGTACGACTGTACATTTATTAATGCATTATCAATTCAAGTATAGTCTCCACAGAGATTCTTGTGCTGTGGGTGGAATAAAAGTATCTTCTGTCTTATTTATAAAGGAAAAGAAAGGAAGCCAAGTCTTGCCAAAAGTGTCTGTCCCTGAAGTGCCTGTAATTACCCTTCTGTGGCGAGTGAGGCATTCCGATAGAGCTACATTATTCCAAATATTATTTACCCAGATTTCAATGGGGATTTCTATGGGTTGTTTCCAGTATCAGGCTACTGTGAATCAGGTTGCTGATAACAGAAAAAAACCCACACACAAAATCTCCGCATTAAAGGCTATTGTTTACATTTGAGTCTAATGGGAATAAGGCAAGAACTGAATTGGGTGGAAGGGATTGCTGTGTAATTTTGGAAATAATGGGAAACACCTTTTTCTAAAAGGAGCATGCTATCATGCAACTCCACCAAGCATGAAATATGAACCTATCACTCTGCAGCCTTTCCAGCACAGAGGAGAGATGCTAGTGTTTATTTTGGCTAGGCCAGCGAAATATAATTTTAAGCGAAGCCTCCTGAAGACGAGCAGAGATTGTTCGTAGGGTTGGGTTGTGCCAAACTGATTGCCATGTATGACCTGCAATTATGATCCCCAAGTCTCTTTCCCATACCGCCCGAAGGCTTCTTGTATCAGCAGGTTTCTTTCCTTAAGAGCTCAATTTTAAGCTGCCTTGAAGTTCTTTTGGAAATCGGTGTAATTAAGAAAACATTCACAGGCACAAAAAAGCCACATAGCCTGATTTGTTCATAATAATAAATTTATTGTCCTGCACCTTCTATTCCATATGGAAGGCAGTAAGCAATGCAGTACCATAACAACAACAACAACAACCACTTGCCCCAAGGACAGGTCAGAAGGCTGCACTAATATATGTCCCAAGACACAGGAAGTAGTTTGGGAGGGCAAGGAAGAAGGTAACTCACAGCTTGGCGTTCTGCCGCTTGCTGGGAGGCTCCTTGTTACAAAAGATTTCCAAGCGTTCCAAGTTGCTGAAGATCCTGTCTATTCGCGCCTGGATTTCGTTTTCCACCACTGAAAGAGGAGATGAGGGGGGGAAAGTAAGAAACATCAGGGCCAGATGGACACTCACTGTTTTAACCAGCACATACCTTCTTGCCAGGCTTTGCCAGTCAAGCCTTGCCCACGCTGTGTGAAATGGGAGATTTCTACCAGAGAAAGTGGAAGGTGCTCATGTTCCTAGTGCCACCCATCATGGAGCTAGGTGGAGAAGGTGCCCACCACAACCATCGGGCCAGGGACTGCGAGGAATGCCCTGCCACTTCAGCATGCGGAAAACACTTTGCCACTTGCCAGTAGCGGTATTGCAAACATTTGTTTTGAGTATTTTATGGAATGCGGAAAATAAAGCAACAAAACAAGGAACAAATCCCGTCTATTCAGAGCACGATGGGCAAACATGCATACATTTTGGTGGGGGGGCAGTACAATACATATATATATATATATATATATATATAGCCAGAGATTCATGCTGTCCAAATTTCTGCTGCTGTTGAGATGCATTTGTGAGAAATAACCACCTGTGGGTTGTTTTTTCGCTGCAGGATTCTGATACTGTGCATAACCTTCTCGGAAATTACAACTGTCCAAAAGTTTCTTAGCTAGGCAGCGGTAGATACTGTGCATAATCTTCTCAGAAATTACAACTGTCCAAAAGTTTCTTAGCTAGGCAGCGGTATCCAAATCGTTCAAGTGCCCAAGTCACCTTTGTGTTACTGACTACTGCTACCAGAGGACGCTTTATCAAGTCTTTAAATTTACATTTTAATTCCCTCTTTGGACTCATAAACCAAGATAATAAAGCAAGCTCTGCTAAAAAAGCTATTATTATTATTACTATTATTATTATTATTATCTCTCCTGTATGTTTTCCACAATCCTGATGAATGGTTAGCCAGAATCTTTGCATTTTAGAGCACTATCACCAAAGTTGATTATAAAATCATAGAACTGGAAGGCGCCACAACGGACAGCTAGTTCAACCCCCTGCCATGCAGGAATCTTTTGCCCAACATGGGGCTCAAACCTCTCCAACAACTTGGGCCGTACAGAGAGAGCCGTACAGAGGTCATGTACTAACTGAGGTCTATTTCAGTGTGGTTTCTCTCAAGTTTGTTGGACTCTAACTCCCATCAGCCCCAGCCAGGATGGCCAATGATAAAGGAGCTGTGGTCCAATAACATCTGGAGGGCCACATGTTATCCACCCTAGTCATAGAAGAATGCTTCTTCTAAAAGGTGACCTGCCAGCCACATCTCTTTTTTGGCAATTATTTGTATGTTGAAGTTCCTTTCCAAAAGGAAATTTACACCACTGGGCTAATGAGAATATAAAAACTCTACCACCCATGGCTTTCCCCATATCCTACCCTTCACTCACTACAGTGGTACCTCGGGTTAAGAACTTAATTCGTTCCGGAGGTCCATTCTTAACCTGAAACTGTTCTTAACCTGAAGCACCACTTTAGCTAATGGGGCCTCCCACTCCCGCCGCGCCGCCACCACACAATTTCTGTTCTCATCCTGAAGCAAAGTTCTTAACCTGAGGTACTATTTCTGGGTTAGCAGAGTCTGTAACCTGAAGCGTCTGTAACCCGAGGTACCATTGTACAGCAAATTGGAATCAGAGAATTGTAAGTCAGAAGGGACCCAGAAGGTCATCTATTTCAACCCCCTGCAACGCAGGAATCCTGCCCACAGCTGTCCCTGGGTGGGCTTGAACTTCCAACCTTCTGGCTAACAGTCATACGCACAGACCCATTACACCACCTAAAGGTCAAAACATTTTAATGGTTTCACTTGGGCACATATTGGAAACACAGGTCAGGGAGCACTGGCCAAGCCAACAGTGAGGTTACCCTCTTCCATTAATTACTCACAGTGGACTGACTGTTTGTCTGATGTCTCGAGGCGGCCCATGTATGACTGGACCTCATGGACCTGCCTGTTGAAAAGAAGAAAAGTTCTAGTCAATCACAAGGGTTCCAGCAGAAAAGGAGGATTTCTCAAGAAGGCAAACACACGGCCGAAATGAACCGTCAGTGCTCAGAGCAATCAGAATATTGAAGTAAAATCCCTGGTATAACAGTAAAAATACTGCGCAAGTCAAGAGCAGCCAACCTGATGTTCTCCACATGTTGCGGGACTACAACTCCCATCATCCCCGGCAGCACGGGCTGGAGCTGATGGGAGTCCAACAACATCCACAGCCACCAGGTACTATGATGGCCATCCTGGCAGTATGTAATCTCATACGTTGCAGAACAGATTTCCTAAACATTTCTCATATACAGTGGTACCTTGGTTCTTGAACGTAATCCGTTCTGGAAGTCCGTTTGACTTCCGAAACGTTCGAAAACCAAGGCGCGGCTTCCGACTGGCACAGACGCCCCGGAAACCCTAGCTGACAACCGCATCGGACATTAGGATTCTGAAAAACGGTTGAAAACTGGAAAACTTACGTCTGGGTTTTCGGCGTTCGGGAGCCGAAATGTTTCAGTACCAAGGCGCTCAAGAACCAAGGTTCCACTGTATTCTCTGAAATATTTACAAGGCAACAAGGACCCAGGCAAAAGCAGAAATACAAAAAGCAATCTGCCTCATCACTTGTGGCAAGAATTGCCTCCAGGTGACCAGAGAGGGAATATTTGCAAAAGATGGCACTACTGTTCTGATGGCAGAAATGACTGGCATGGGTGTGCGGGAACGGTTTCGGTTTTTTTAAAGGCCACAAATTTATGCAGTCTTGCTGACAATGATGGGTTTGCATGAACTTCTTTCCATTTTTAGAAACGCACTGCTTCAAAAATTAGGTTGCAACGTAACAAACGGATAAAATATCTGTCAAATCAGTCAATTGGAAAGGCTATAATACCAGTCCAACCTAAAATCAAATTTGTAATTAGCTATTTTCAGGTGACTATCTTTGGGGAAGCATCTATATTTGTGGGCACAAGCATGCTGAGAAATTCGTATGCTAACCATATTCTACATCATCATTCTGCCCCACCCCCCTTAAAATCTAAACAGAATCTTACTCCCTTGAATTGTCTTAATATATTTACAAGAATTATATTGAAGATAACTTCAAACAAATTCAAAGTCTGACTTGGAAATTAACATTTTAAAACACATTCAATGTGTTTTATTGATTCCCCCCCCCGCCCCCCCCCCCGAATATTTCAGTTCAATCGTATTTTGGCTATTGGAAAAATATCTGAAATATTTATGCAGCCTGTAAAATTAACACAGCCTATTTTGGCCGTCTTTTCTATGTGTTCGTCAAATAAATATGCTATATGAATGAAACCTCAATGTATTTAAGGCAGCAGAAAGTTTCCAGATGCAAAGTTGGTTAGAAATCTCTTTCCATTGGCTAAAGGAGAATCCAAATTCTGAATGAACACTGTTGCACTTGAGCTCTACTCTACAAGCAAGAAAGTTAAAAGCTCACCATGATTATCTAGCACTTCTCTTTGGGATCTTCTCCAAAACAAAGAGTGGGAATGATATGGTGGGAACGGCTCAGCCCTGCCAACTAGAAAACCTGTTTTGGAAACAGACTGAGGATATCAGGCCAGAGGCAGAGAAAAGGCAACAGGACGTGGGAGATCAGGTAGGGCCAGGAGGGGAAGAATGCTCTGCCCCACGGGCACCTCCTAGAAACGGATGCGTGGCAGAAAAATCACTTGAGCACACCAAGAGAATGACTAAAAGCAGGGGTCAATAAAAAGGAGGGAAATCATGAGACTCAGCGTCTGACAAAGTGAAGCAGCTCAGGTGTGCTAGAGTCTGATGGGCAAGGCAGAAAGGCTGCAACACTAGCAATGCCATAGAGAGCCATTCGCTTTGCAAGCACTTTCTTGGAAATCATCCCAGCCAACTATCACTAGAGCCTAGAAGGGATCAAGGACTGATCCAGGGGAAGCCCCAGTTGCTGGATGGCAACTCCCATCAGCCCCAATCAGCATGGCCACTGGTCAGGGGTGCTGAGAGTCCAACGACGTCAACATCTGGAGGGCACCCACTTGGCTACCCCTGGATCTGTCTGTTTCTGCTGGTTTGGGACAGAGAATTGAATGAGATGGCCTTCAGTCCAACTCTTTATGATTTACTCAACTATCTCTAGCTCATTTTCATTTTAGTTAACACAAACAGGCTCCACCAGGTGAGGAAACAAGCATGACAACAGCTTCAGCAACCTCTGAAGCCTCCACAATCTAGTTTTAATGTTTGGAAGGTTTTCAAGAACATGCCAACTCAACATCTGAGCACATGCCAAAACTGGTAGGTCCATGACTAGCTCTGGACATTTGTTTAAAAAGAAAAAAGAAAAACACCGTAAGGGCATGTAATGTTCTTTTCATCAGATTGTCAAGGTGTATGGTTTTTAAAGCTTTAAAGATTAAACAGCGTAAGATGCAGGAATGTAGGACTTGGCTACAAAGTTCAGTGCTAGACTGCAGAAATAGGCTTGAACTGCACTCGCCAACATGGTGCCCATGGGCATAAGGGCACCCTTGAGGTCTTCCCCTGGCACCCACTAAGTTGTGAACACCCCACTTTGTCATGAAGTGCCATGGGTTGTTATCTCCCCCGACCCACTGAAAACTACAGAGTTGTAAAAGAAGAAGATGGAAGAGTAATGCTCTTTCCCACTTCCTCTTTCAGCATGATATATAGTTTTCAAGCTCAGATCAGCAGCTTAACAGAATATAAAGTGTCTGAGGTAAAAGGGAACAAGAAGCAAGTAACCAAAGAGAGAAAGGGAATGGAGACAGAGAGGGAGAAGGCATATGTTGCTGGCATCCATCTGCCTCAAGAGACAATGGAAGAATGCACCATCAGAGATGAAGTCAAACAGTTGGAAAGATACAGCAGCTGCTGTGGCTGTACAGACCAACATGGGAGGGACATGTTTTATTGCAGTTGGGGCAGATGAAGACATCTGGTTTCGCTGTTACAGATGCACACACATAATGTTAGATCCAGTAAAATAGATCCTCTTGAAATTGAATACTTTTATTATGAGTTCCCCTCATTCCCCAACCATCATCAAATCTATCTCCACTGACCAAAATATAAAAGTCACATATCTGGTGCTTTCCAGCACCACCATGATACAACAGGGGTTCAACATGCATTAATTCTTATAGATCCTCATATTTCTCCTGAAAATCACCACCAAGTGATAGGAGACCGTTTTATCCACAAATGTCCTCCGTGGTTTGTTGACGGTTTTAACATCCCAGGCAAAAATCATGAAGATCCATGCCTTGGGTCTGTGGTGGACAAACACCAGCTCCGTATTCATACTGTGTGTTGCACTACTTTAAACTTTAATATAATGGTGGATTTTGGAGGATGCTGTGAATATCATGCAAATTCAAGAGGAGCCATGTTAGTTCCACTGGTTTCAGCTTTTATCCAGACCCCTTGGAAGATCAAAGATTCTGTGTGTGCTTACTCAGTCTGGGGCAAGAAAGAGAAGCCGAAGAAGTGGTGCCCATGGCACTCTTACAAGATTCCAAATTTCCCCATGGGTTCAAAAATATTGGCAACCCATTATGGCAAAGAATCACTCTAGGATTAGAAGGGTGATGGCAAAGAAGAGTCTGTTTTAAAGAGGCACTGTGTTTAACACTCAGGATTTCAAAAATCTGAAAGCCATCCCTTCCACCCAGGCCAGAGTTGAGTTTGTCAGAACACAGCTACTACTCAAAGCTATACACAATACAAAATGAATGTGTCTATGGCCAGGGGGAGGGGGGAATCCACTGTGACCCAGTGCCTAGAGAACAGAGTCTGGACCTTGTGTAGATTAAACTACACATGTAAATCTGGGGAATCAAAGTACAGCTCAATCTTAGATTTTAATGGCACAGCAATCGCTCTTAGTTTCAGTCTCAGTTGCCCAGTATCCAAATGGATGACCTTTGAGTTGTTACAAGGATGAACAAGATACAAGTGAGAAGCCCTCTGCACATTTCTTATCCCCATTTCTCTGAGTGTAGGACCCATACAACTCAATGAGACTTACCTCTGAGTAGACAGGAATAAGATTACACAGTAAACAATGGTAAGCAATCACCTGACTCCTGCTACCAGGTCTACTTACTCCCCTTCTCAGTTATGAAGTCTCTCATAGTAGGTGGGAGAAGGAAAGATTTCCAACAGCAGCCCTTGTGACAGTCACTAAGGTGGTGATCTCCCTTTTCTTCTACCCTCCAGAGCCCCAAGTGTATCCACAAATTTACTGGTGCTGATTTCAGGCACAAATAGTCCCTGTTTGTGAACCTCTGTCCTTGCCACCTGATGTTACCCTTTGGTGTCCCATATCAATGACTGTTTCCTCCCTTCTTCCCAACATGGATACTCAGCCTGCTTCCCAAGCTTCACGCTGCTTCTACCCCTACACAAAGAATCATCATCCTTATTCTTTCCTGTTCTCGCTTCCCTCCCAACATGCCCCCAATTATTTATCCCCATCCTGCTGTTCACAATCTCCCCCACCCAGGGCTGTGTTTTCAAAACTTCTTATTTCTGAATTGAAACTGGAGGCCTACCCAGTGGGATTTAGCTGCTGAACGAGATTACAATGATGAGCCGCATTACGCTAAAAATTATGCCATCTGACCCAAAGGCTCTGTGGAACAGCATAGTGAGACAAACGTAACAAAATGGGGTGGGAATAATAATGCCCAGGACCTTTTTTCAGCCGGAATTCACCGGAACTGAGCTCCGTCACATCTCTGGTGTGTTCTGGCACCTCTGTGTGACAGAGACAGAGGGTGACATGGTGCTCGGGGTTACGCAGTGGAGGCACCAGTTTATATTTTTTGCCGTGGCAGTGCGGCAAAACTTTTTTAGGTCCTCCCCCTAAAAAAATCTCAGCAAGTGCCTATGCAGCAGATCTCATGACAGGAAGCAAATCCTCTTGAGCGACAGATGGGCGTGAAACTCCAGTGCATTTGAATGCTGCTCTGTATCATTACATCTGGCCAACTGCTGCAAATAAGAACTACTGGCCACTCTAGCTTTTGCTAGCAGGAGAACTTTTTTGGTGGCGCAAACAGATGCACCCCCACCCACCCTACTTATCAAAAGTTTCTACCACTGCCTTTGCTGTTCGGCCGAGAATCAGTGACGAAAGCGCCAAGGCTACCCCCCCCCCCCCAATATAGCAGGCGATGTGCTTCTAATAATAATAATAATAATTTATTATTTATACCCCGCCCATCTGGCTGGGTTTCAAACACTGTCAGGCAAATGATTCAGAGATGTTGTGCGAAGATCTTTCAGTGGGTAGGCAGGCAGGCAGGCACCAGAACTAGGTTACACTTCGTTCAAACTGCCACAGACTTTTTACTTACGTGGCCTTCCACTCAGCCCCTCCTCCTTGATATAAATACTCAGTGCTGACCTAGTACTGCAGGGCTGTTGCTACGATTCACATATACGAACGGGGGGGGCATATAAATGCAGAGTATGAACTGGAATATTACTGCCCTCCGTCACATTACCATGGCTACCACTCCCCTCCCCCACACCCACCCCACTGAAACCTCCCTCCACCACACGGCTCTCCCTCGGTTTCCCCCCATGTATTGAAACACCTCCGCCCCGCCGCCGCCTTCCCTCCCGAGAACGAGGTACTCTGGTTATTAATAATAATTATTATTATTTTTATTTATACCCCGCCCTCCCCAGCCAAGGCCGGGCTCAGGGCCTATTACTATTATTACTACTGCAAGCTCCCGCCCCGCACACGCACTTGTTGGTCTGGTGGTAAAGCGCCTCCATGGCTGCCGCTCGGCTGACTGGGCTCCCACACAGCTCCCACTCTTTAACACGTCACCCGGTCCCTACACCGGCGCTTCCGGTTTCCGGCTTGCCGAAGGCCCCCGCCTGTGACGTCACCCGCTCGGCGCCGCCTGCCCTTGCCGGCGCCTGAGCAACTGGTGCAGAGAAAGGAGGCGGGGAGGCGGGGAGCGGCGCGGAGCTGGCGGAAGAGGCAGCCGGGAGGATTTTTATCAAATCAAGTCGCTGCGCTTTCTAAGCCGGGGTTTTGGATTTAAGCTGCCTCCCCCTTCACCACCACACACAGTTGATGTCAGTTTGCCATCATGCAGTACGTTTTTATATTTGCATGCACCTCAATTGACATATGCAGCTGAATAATAACATTAATGGCAAAGTCCATTCCATCTCTCTCTCCCCGTTCTGCAAGAGTACAAAAGGCGAAAATAACCCTATCTGTCCTCAGTCTGCGGGAGATTTTGTTATTTTCACGCGCTGAAATGGACACGCGCAACTGAATAATAAAACAATAATAACAGCGGCACCGCTCTTTTCTCTTTTCCTCAAGTGTTGTTGTTGTTGTTTAGTCGTTTAGTCGTGTCCCGTTTAGTCGTGTCCGACTCTTCGTGACCCCATGGACCAGAGCACGCCAGGCACTCCTGTCTTCCACTGCCTCCCGCAGTTTGGTCAAACTCATGCTGGTAGCCTCAAGAACACTACCCAACCATCTCGTCTTCTGTCGTCCCCTTCTCCTTGCGCCCTCCATCTTTCCCAACATCGGGGTCTTTTCCAGGGAGTCTTCTCTTCTCATGAGATGGCCAAAGTCTTGGAGCCTCAGCTTCACGATCTGTCCTTCCAGTGAGCACTCAGGGCTGATTTCCTTCAGAATGGATCAATTTGATCTTCTTGCAGTCCATGGGACTCTCAGGAGTCTCCTCCAGCACCAGAATTCAAAAGCATCAATTCTTTGGCGATCAGCCTTCTTTATGGTCCAGCTCTCACTTCCATCCATCACTACTTCCTCAAGTGTAGAATAGGATAATGTTATTTGTCCTCTGCTCCAGAGATGCGTAGATCTCTGGCTAATGTGAAGTAGCTCAGCAAGCAGGAGTGCCAACTTGGCCCTGTGGCCGTGGGTGCCATGCAGCATGCATGGCCCTGGCACAAAAATTTGTGGGTGTCCAATCCCTTCATGGGGAATTTTGTGGATACTTGGGAACCCAGGGCCCCAGGGAGTTGACACCTATGTCAGCAAGTATTTCTGATTCCCATGCTGCCAACAAAGCGACTCCTCCAACCCAGTTATGTTGCCGCCAACAAAGCAACTCCTCCAACCCAGTTATGTTGCTGGAATGAAAATTGGAAAGAGGTGGGAGGGTGTAGTCTAACAAAAAGTTGCCATACACAAACTATTAATTCAGTTCAGTTCTTCCGTCTATAATTCTTTTTGCATCTGGTATCGGGTTTGTGGGTCTCACGGTTCACTTCAACCTTCCTGAAGGTTGCTCACCACCCTTGTCCACCTTCCATTAAATTCGCTACTGTCATGATTCTTCTCAGCTCCCCCCCCCCCCCATGCCCACTCTCATGAAAGGGGAGGATTTCTGTGAAGCGCATTCATGCATTTAACAGAACCTCAAGGTTCTGATCCTTATTGTGGCAGTCTAAAAAAGGAAAAGGGCAAAAAACAAAAGGACCAGAAACAGCAATCGGAGATGTGGAGGGGAAAGATTTCTGACTTTCTTGAGGACGCTAATTGATTGCCTGGATTGAGACAAACAGGAATGAAATAGAATTTCAAATCCAAAACTTTGCCCCACCTGTTGCGGGGTGTACATCCAGTGTGAATGACTATATTTTGCCTGAGTGAACAATTGTGCTCTTTCTGTGCTCTCTTTCCAAATCCCGCCCCTGGAAAGGCATTTGGTCTGGCTGGTGTTGCAAAATTCTGGACTACAAGAGGGACCTTTTGATCTGATGCAGCAAGGGAACTCTTACGTTGATGTTTACCTTATGAGAACTTAAAATGCTGGGTAATTTCTAAATACCTTCTTGGTATTATCTGAAGATAATTGCCTTTCAGGAAATTCATGGCATGACCTTCAACTGCTAATAGATTAAGGAGAAACGTGCCTCTAATTATTCAGCCACAGGTCAAACTGAGGACTTCGCAAATTTACAGGAAATTACCTTTCCACTAATATAACCAACTCCACATTCCTTGACCGTTGCTCCCACCTCCACCCACTTCTGTTCTCCCACCCCCAGCTGGGGCCTGTATGGCCCTTTAGGAGTTGAGGACTGATGCCCCCTGATTTTAAGTGACGTTCTTGTAGGTTGGTCTTTCTCAAGCTCAGCTAACAATGGCACCTACAGTCCTGTCCCAGTAAATTAAGTCTTCTTCTTTGGCGATCACTCGTGGCTGAGTAAGATTGTCTTCCATAAACATGGTTTTAACAATGAGTCCGTAAGTGAGTGTGGAGGCCAATTCTGGATCCACATGTCCTTCCACAGTGGGGACATGGCGAAGGTTGGCCAAGCATGCCTTCCTCTTAGCACGTTTCTCCCTTGTGTCCAGAGTTCAAGCGTCTTCAAAGCCCATGACACCTTTGGTAAAGGCTGTTCTCCAATTGGAGGGCTCGCAGGCAAGTGTTACCCAATTGTTGGTGTTTATACTACATCTTTTAAGATTTGCCTTGAGACAGTCTTTAAACCTCTTTTGTTGACCACCAGCATTATGCTTTCCATTTTTAAGTTTGAAATAGAGAAGTTGCTTTGAAACGCGATAATCAGGCATCGGCACAACATGAATTACCGGTAAGTATGGGTGCAATATGTATGTGGGTAAAACCTCAGCGCCTAGGACTTGCCGATCGCATGGTTGGCGGTTCGAATCCCCGCAGCGGGGTGCGCTCCCGTCGTTCGGTCCTAGCGCCTGCCAACCTAGCAGTTCGAAAGCACCCCCGGGTGCAAGTAGATAAATAGGGACCCCTTACCAGCGGGAAGGTAAACGGCGTTCCATGTGCTGCGCTGGCTCGCCAGATGCAGCTTGTCACGCTGGCCACGTGACCCGGAAGTGTCTGCGGACAGCGCTGGCTCCTGGCCTCTAGAGTGAGATGAGCGCACAACCCTAGAGTCTGGCAAGACTGGCCCGTACGGGCAGGGGCACCTTTACCTTTATGGGTGCAATAACAGAGGACATTGAGGAGCTGCAACTAATATAGTCATATTAATGCACATGGATTACTGTTGGGGTTTTTTGTGTGTGTTGTTGTTTTTTTGCTGGCTGGTAAGTGCACTTTTATGCTGGCAGGCTTTTGCATACTAAGGTGCCTGAGGAAGGTGTGGTGCAAGATGTGAAGTTTGGGAGGAGTGTGGATCATCTGGGAGAGTCCTGGGGTTGGGTACAGAGGGCAAGGGATCCCTGGACCTAACGCTCCCCCATCTTTGTTCTCGTATTGTGGAGCTGCCTTTTAAAAATCTTTAGGAATGCCAACAAGTGCAGAAGACGGTAACCAAAATAGTTAACTGGTACCGACCACCATGAACATCTCACTCCAGGGTTAAATATCTTCAGTGGCTCCCAGTTTGTTGTCAGACACCGTTCAAATCTGCTGGTTTTGACCTCTAAGGAGCCCTCGACAGCCTGGGGCTAGTGTCTCTAAAAGCCTTTTCCCACATGAACCTGCCTGCCAATTAAGATAATCTTCAGAGGCCCTACTCCAAGTGCTTCTGCTTCTGGGGTCAGGCAGGTGATTACCCGGCAGAAGGACTTTTTCTGACACGATGTCCAGTCGAAGGAGAGCCCTCTCTCCAGACGCATGTTCACCTGGCACCATCTGTTAGGCACAAGGCACCGAAGGAGGCAAACTCTTGGGCGGACAGTGAGGAGGGGGCAGGCGATTGTGAGGGAGAGTTTGTGAGAGTGTTAAAGTGTTCCTCTTTGAAGGAGAACTATCTGAAAATCATTTACAGATGGTATCTAAATCTGAGCAGACTTGCTCAAATTTATAAGTCTGAATCGGAGAAGTGCTGGAGATGCAATGCTCAATCATAGAGCACAACATAAAGCAGAATCATAAAACCACCCCCAAACAATAAAAACCTAAAAGACAAGCAGCTAAATGCCAAGTGTAAAGCTTTTAACAGGCCTGGGGAAACAAGAAAGTCTTAACCTAGGGCTGGAAAGATTGTAATGTCAACAGCTGTTGAGACTCTTTATGGAGGCGGGTATTCCGAATATGGGGTGCCACCACGGAAAAGGCCCACTCCTTCACAACTATAACACATCCAGGCCTGTATGAGTTAGTTATGGCGAGACAGAACAGCATCAGGGTGGTCGTGTGAACCAAGCCACCAACACGATCAATTGTGCTTTCCCAGTGAGAGAGGTCAATTGATACTGCCTCTCTCGTTCTATATTTTGAAAACCGAATTTATTTGTTTGTTTAGTCCAGGTGCAGCTACCTGGTACATACATCTCGAGAAATGTGGATGGTTTGGAGGGAGGGGGAGACCAGTAAATTGGCTCAAATAGCCAGCCCCCAGGAGCATGAAGGGGTGTGTTTAGCACACACACACAGAGAAAGCATTTTGTTTGAGGAAAAGCTGTTGTATTGTAAACAGGATAGAAAGAGATGGAGACAATCACTTAAGGCTTGTCTGCTGTGTCCTCAGGTCATTCCTGGGCAGGATCCTTGCCAGCAGCATCTGATGGCGAAAAGGCGATTGCACATTAGCAGCTCTTGTTAACTCTGAGGGCAAAGGTTACAATTTCCTTGGTCTGACTGAGTGATTTGCAGATATACTGTGCAGTCAACAAAAGCAGGAGATGGCCTCCCTGCTGGTCCTCCGCAAGGGTGAGAGCTACCCTTTTTTTTGTTTGTGGCACAAATCCCTCACAACGGCCTTTCACCAATTCACCCCTCAAGCCTCAGAGGACGTTTGCCTTCTCATCTTCTACGCTGCCCAGGACGCTTGCCCTGGTAAAAAGCTGCAGCAAA